CATTTTGTGGGCGTGGCAGTGGGCCGATTTTGACCATCTTCGAACTTAACCTTCTTATGGAGCCAAGAAATACGTGTACCAAGTTTCATCATGATATCACAATATTTACTCAAGTTACAGCTTGCACGGACGGACGGAGAGACAGACATCCACTCGTCACCCTGATCACTTTGGTATATATAACCCTATATCTGACTTTTTTAGTTTTAGGACTACAACAGGGAAACAACCGTTATGTGAACAAAACTATAATACTCCCTTTAGCAACTTTGTTGCGAGGGTACTGGGCAAACATTCAAAGTCAAGTTGCATACATTATTGATGAACTTATAATTAAAAGGTTAAACTCTAATCGAAAAATTAGAAAGAAATTGTTTATAAAAAAATTGCCATAAAAGCAAAAAAATAATAGTACTTTACTTAAAAAACTAGGAATACTGTAAATAAAAGCATTCGATAAAAATGATAAATATTTTCTATTTACATTTTCTTGCAATATATTTAGTTATTAGTTATTCGACACAACTTGTTTAGACTGATTTAAACTGAACTTCTATAGTATGTAGCTGCTAKATGATTTCGAGCTCTTTTTCAAATCCATTCAATCCCCATTTCATCGATTGAAGAATGCAAACTTGTTCTAAATAATATATGGAGATTGAGTTACCGAAACTAAGCTAATTAAAAAATTCTTAATTAGACCTGCACCTTAATTAGTATCAAATTTCTAACGCAGTTTTTTTAAATCTACTGCATAAAAAACTGTATGTCCAATAATTTGTCGCACACTGTAAGCGATTACTTGGTAAATAGTATGCTATAGTATATGTTGCATTTGTGTGAATTATTGACACACAATAATAAAATATAACAATGCAAATACACGTTGCTTTATTGTAAAAATTATCGAGCTATACTACCAGTTAGCGCTGGAATTTCCGCGACCTGCATATAAGCACTTAGTACTTAATTACTATTATATTATATATTTTCTAAGCGCACAGCATTTTGCTTCAATACAGCAGCTTCTTAGTAATGAAAGTTGTTAGGCACAAAAATTTAGTAATATTTTATTTTGCTAGTCRAAAAAGTTATGAAACTATATTCTTGTAAAATTAATGAAGTAATGGCAATTAATGATAATGTTAAAAATAAAATCAGCTGTTTTTTTTAATTTTGTTGAACCGCATTGACGTTTAATGGTAATAAATAAGTCAGCTGTTTTTTCATTTTGATTTGGTATTACATYGACGTTTTTGGTATTAATGATAGCCGTAATCATAAAAATAATGTGAGTAGCAAAATCAGAGCCTTTCAGTTACAGTAACATACGTAGGGCAAAAATTCTTTCTCCTGATCGAGAGGTTGCACCACAAACATAAAAACTCTCATGAAGTTTCTTAGTGCATTTTTTTCTAAGTAATGGCTTGATAAATGTTGCGACACATCTTCCCTAGCATATTCAGCCGTTAAATACAGGTTTATTATATGCGGTCGTAACCGTAGAAGTTATTCACGAATTTTTACAAATGATAAAGCTTTGCGTGCGTTGGCTGCAGCGTTGCCAACGATTACGTTTTACGCTGTTGGTCTACAACAACGACAACTTTTTATTTCCCAAACTAAAAAAGTGGATGACTAGAAAAAGATTACACTTGAATATGAAGGGAAATATGGAAACAAAGTATTATTTTRAAGTCCTCGACTTCACATTATCGGGCCGGTCTCAAAATGTATATACATATATATGTATTTAAGAAGCTCGTGTTAAAACTTGAGACTAATTCGGCCGTTTTCGAGTAATGTTGGTCATCGACTTTGAAAACACCATTTTGAGACAAACGCCTTTAAAGTTTGGCCTTGCACATCCAAGCACAATGTATGTAATACAATAAGAAAATATAATAAAGAAAATCGATTTTTATATTTAATATATTATATATAGTACATATATGAAATTGTAGAAAATATTAATTAATTTCTATTTTTATATTGCTTCATTTGCACAGCATTTAAATAAATATTATTTTATCTCTTTCAGATAATTAGACGATAATTTTGAGTGCACCACCGGCAATTAACATGAAATGCAACATCCGGAGTTTGCTGAGCCTAACTATAGCATCAACAGTAGCGACAAAAAATAACACCGTTACAACTACTACTATTATTAATACTACAGCAACTACTACTACTACAATTAAATGGTAATCATTATGAGAAATATCAGCAAAGTCTGACTTCCATATTTTTTACTAAACACACACACGCACATCATCAAACAGTAGTAATAGAGTAATTCTAATTATCGAAAAAATTATGAAAATTAAGATAATTACTATGTATGTAGTTCTATAACAAATAATCATTACAAACGAAACTATAAAACACGCGCAACTTTTTCAATAGCAAAGACTATAGAATGGTCTTAAATTCTTACAGTGGTTGTACTCCTTCAGCTGATCAACTCAATTTGTGTGTAAAAGAGCATAGTTTAGAAGCAGAAATTTAAAACATGCAAACAAAGTAATTTAATTCCTATTTTCCATTGTTTCAAGAATATTTGCCTCATTACTTTACTCAACAATGCCAATAATTTTGCACTTTATACCTAGGTGAAAGTGAGAGCTGAGTAACTAAAAAAATTATAATTTAATAAAAATTAGTCATATTTCAATACATAAGCAAATATGTATATAAATAATTGCGAAAAAAGAAAATACATATAAACGAACGATTAGCGATATTTTCATTGCCAAAATTTATTGTTATTATACTTCATTTTAATTATATATAAACATGTATGTATATTTACACTATTGTTATTAATATAACTAATTATATTTATATACATATGTATGTAATTTGTTTAATATGTAACTATATTAGTTTTTAAGTTAATTTTTGCGATCATTTTTATTTTATAAATATTTATTTTGATTCTACAAAATGCAATTGTACTTTTATTGTAACTTGCAAAAGCGTTAATTTGCATAAAAATAGTACATACATACATACATTTACCAATATGTTACGTTAAACAATTGAGCGTAATACTAAACGTAAATACTTATAATCAATTACTATCAATGTGATTTAAGCGATTTTATCAAAGCTATCCAATGTCTTAAAAACTACGTTAAATGCAGAAAAAAAGTTGTTCTATGCGATGTTGTTGTAGGTTCTCAAAAGCAAAAACAAAACTAAATGAGAAATTTTTACGCATTAAGTACTGCAAATATAAAAAATTAAACACATAAAAATAAAGATTGTATTTCAAACTAAAAGAATGAGATATCAATTAAATATATATACATAAACACATACATACGTAGGAATAGCAATTAAAGTAATAAATAAAAGTAAATATGTGGGCATTAGGACGTGTATGAATGGGCCAAATATTGTTACAACGCGCATTTATAATTTAGTCTTTACATTGTGCAAGTTGTAATGCCTGATAATTGATTTTTGCTGTCTTTGAACCATATAAACTAATTGAAATAACTAAATATACATACACGTAAGTCTTCTATAATTTTTTTTTATATACTGTTGTAAGCTGAAGTGCCATTAGGACTAAATTGTTTAGAAAAAAATCGAAATTTTATTATTGTTGTTAACAATAGCGTTCAGCAATAAGTTCACAATTTGTATTTAACTTAGCTAAGTAAAGCGAAATTTCGTAAAAATTCCTTAAAAACGCATTATTGTAATTCGTAGCTTCAAATCCATAGATTCCGCCTGCATTTACACGACGAAGAACACATTTGTATTATAGAAAACATTACGGACCGGCATTTTTTACACAACAAATGTTAGTTTTAAAGACAGGCAATTTAAATACACACAAAAATTATACATGTACAAATTTTAAAAGATTATTTTTTCATTATAATATTAAAACAATATGTATTATACAAGTACTTGCTTGTAGGTTAAAAAGCTTGATTTAGCACAGCTGAAATGTTTAAAAATTCTAAATTTTAATCTTAAGCCAGTAAATTATAACACTTAACACCATTATATCGCAAAGTGTCGCTGCATAAATTTCAAATAATTTTATTTTTCATTTGTAGTGCGAGTTGAAACACATTTTTCGAAGTTAAAATGACAAATTAGTAATTGTAATGTATTTCTGCTATGCAAGCGCTTGCCAGTCGACATCGATTCACTTTGTACTGCTGAAAATTAATTAATTTGAAACATTAAATTATAGTGGCACAACAAAAAATTGTTTAACCGCCACGTATACTTCCTGAATTTTTCAAAGCAAAACATATTAATACCATATTTTACGCATTTCCTGCTTACAGAGGATAAGCAAGCAATAAATATTATTCCAAATCACAATTAGTATCAATTTAAATATTAAAATTAGTTATTTTCACGCTTCTGTGATTGTAAACTATTTAAAGGTTTTAAGTAATTTAGCAACAATTTAATGTTTTAAAARCAGCAGCGTCACTAACAAAATTATAAAACAATAATTGGTAACTAAATGCATTTCTAAGCTAATTATTAAATTCGGGAATATAGTTAAAATATAGTCAACAAACAAGTACATGTGCTTTATGGTACGCAAAGTTTTGTTGGTTAGAAGTTTTGAAAAAGAGCTTAAATTATTTTGCTTATTATTTTCTTTTAAATCACTACAGTAGCTAAGAAACTGTTTTTGCACTGCACTAAAGCTTTTCTTGAAGCATTAACACTTAACATTTGTAATCCCTAACTTTTAATAAATTTCCGAAATTTATTTTGTTTTACAATTTTAGTTGACTCTTTTGCAAGCTAGCAAACACCCTTAGCATATATCTTATGCACACAAAGTATACCTAATTCAATTATAACCTTCTATTTATTCCACTTTTATTATGTTGTGTACATAGTTACATACATACACAAAAATATATGAACACTTTCCATACAAAAGAAAATTGTTTTTTGTGAACTCCCAATTGAGGGAAAATACAAATCAACGCATAAGCAACGATATTAATACCATTTCTTTATATGCATATATACATATAGATACATAGTTTTAACAGTAGCATAGTAATCCCACAATTATGCAATAAATGATAAAGAAAACCAATAATTTTACAGTATTTAAATGTTTAATGTAACAGAGAACAAGTAAAACAAAAATTTTATACAAACAAAAAATAAGGAGAAGTGAAAATCGTAATCGAAAAAATTGTAAGCAAAGCATTCGGAGCGTCAACCCAAAAATTCGCATTTATGTACTGTATGCATGGGTTTATTAGAAATATTTGATATGAAACGTGTTGGCGACAAGCGAAGTGAAATGCCGACACAATATCCGTGTATTATTAATAATTAAAATCGGTTTTTTATTATTATCGTAATGTAGGTACTGTATATTGTATGTATTATTATCAATTTTTGATAAGAACACATTTTTGATAGAAAACTTTTGTGTAGTGTGCAAATTTTATCGCCAAAAATAAGTAATAAATAAAATATTAATAAAATTATATAAATTTAAAAATAAGCATTGTTTTATTATCTCATTTGAGTCGGTCAGACTTAACGAAAACAATTACGAACATACAGATGCAAACAAATATCTGAATAACTAATCGAAATTTCAAGTTGAACAAAAATAAAGAGGAAAGAACATTATAATTAAATGCTGATTAAAAAGTAAGTACTAAAAATGTTCTACTCTCGGTATATGCAACCGGATTCATATTTTTATCCGGCCAAGGATTGTCAACTCTGCGCAACAATAACAAGGAATAAGAATAYTTAGCCAAACCTTACAACTTTTCTCTAGAAAATCTTCAGCTACAAAGCCGACGATGTCGAATAAGTGTTGATCAATATCAAAGAGTACACGGCAATTATTTTCAAACTTTAAACTCTTTCATCTGCATTGTAGCTAGGAATTCAAGAGACACTAACTGAACGCCATTTTGAAAGAAATTAAATAAACTTTTCGCCGCAGGTTTGTTCTCTGTGACCGCGCCCACTCGAACACAACGAGGTCTCCAACATGTCAGTTTGATAGTCCTTAGTCAGGTATAAATCTAGGTGAGAATTTARTTGAAATTTTTTCTGCCGTTACTTGATTGATGTTTTTTAGCTACCCTTACAATGTTCTATATTTTATTTAGGTTTCGATTTGTATATGTTTTACAAAATAATGTATTAGAAAAATAACTATTCAAAAAGAAGTTTATGCCTTCGAGTGTTTTTGGCATAATTACGATGTGTGTATGTAGATTCAGAAAACATTCATTTAATATTTGCACAAAAAACTATAATTTTGGTGTTCCTAAGGACTTTATTTTAATGAATGTCATTACCAAAAATTATTATTCGAGTACTAATTTACTAAACAATTTTTCTATGAACATATATTACACATTTCAAGAGATTCTTTATATTCACACATACAAGCACATACGTATGTATGTTAATATGCAATAGCTCTTGTGTAACCAACTCATAGCCATAATGTGTTGTCTTTGTTATCAAATTCAAGTCAATTACAGCCACAAATCTTCACGATATTTGCCATTTCCTTTAAATAATTTTAGCTCTTGAGACGCTTGATCGAGTGTTATATGTTTAACTTGGACTAAACATTCCATTATTGCCGTTTCTATTGACTTCGATATAGATCCACCATCAGCACAGATGTATAGTACAGTATTTTCTTGCATCAAAAACTCTATAAATTCGCTGGCTCGAGCCAATAATTGTTCCTGAACATAGTGAAAGGAGGAACCCAGCACACGGGAAAAACTCTCAAAGTAGCGTTGTAGCACTCCAGCTTCTTCATATGCTAATATACGTTCTCGATGTGGTAGGTGGGTTTCATTGACGGCACCCGCAAAAAGCCATGTGTCGCCTAACGTTTTAAATGTTGCGTTCGCAAGTAGTTGTTCCTTTAGTTCTAGAAAACCTAAAAAAGGTGCTAAAGCTGTGCCTACACTGATTAGAATGTGATTTTTTTCGTTGACTTCTTGTGAGGTAAAACGAAATTGATTTRGTTGTCGTGCATATATTGTAATTTTTGGCAACTCTGAAGGATTCGCAGCGTTGAGTAAAGGTGTCGCCAGATTGTTTAACATATCTGTTGTAACACCTGGTTTTTCCGAGAGTATTGAAAAGATAAGTTTTAAATCATTCCCAACAGGACTATTCGCTATTGAGTAGGGCCGAGGCAGAAAGCGCGGTAGATGCTCAATAAGTACTTCTAATGTAGGTTTACAGGAAGGGCATAATTCAAGCAAATCGAGAAGTTTAAGGCCACGTTCTAAAATCAGTTCGTTGTAGTAACTACTACCTTCCTTTGAAGATAAACTGCTTAGAAAGGCGCGTTCATCATTATTCTCACAACAATTGGCTAAAACATTAAGGAATTGTTTTTTCGGTATGGCATGTATGCTTAAGCAATCACATAATAATCGATATGGTGTGCAATGAGTTGGGATGTAGGTTGGCAGTTTTGCAGTTTTTTTAATGCACTTTGTAGAAATCTGCAGTTGGAATATATCTTCAATGTTATTTATCAGATGCATGTGTTTCAGCAGTAATTGTACATCCTTTATGTTGTTGATTGGTAGTATGCCAATTGTATCACCAGGTTGAAAATAGTCTTCGGTAATTTGCTAAGGTAAATCATATGAAATCATTAGTTTAAAACATTTACACAATAATATTTACATATGATACCATATCAAGTGTTATTTCCAATATCCGCTTTCCTTTTAATTCATCGTCAGCTTCGGCCAAGATTTGTGCTGCCTTAATAGGTACTTCCATTGGCACAGCTCCTGTTCTGCTAAACGGCCAAACTAGTTCATTACATCGGAGCTGTGAATGTTGAGTTTTGAGCTAGAGGAAAATTTTTGWCATTAATACATATATAAGTACTTGTATATACATATGTATATTGTTTCATTACTAACCTCGTTTTCAACAATGCCGTCCAGAAAGACAACCGTATAAATGGGATCCGACAGCTTGAGAGGCACATATTTTTCTAAAATATAGTCTCTGATATTAAGGATTTCAAAACCGGAAGCAGTGGATCTTGGACACACCATATTTCGAAATTGTTTTGAAGGCATCAGCTGTTACTAAAAAGGAGAGAACGAAAGATATCGATTTATTAAGACATCATTCGAATTCTCAATCGATATACATGGTAGTGTTTCTTCATCAGAAAACAATTTGCAATATAAAACTCTGCTTTAATGTGAGCACTTGTGCAGATAGCAGCCAACTCAAATATTATTCACTACCAGAGAAATATACATTTAATATAAATAAATACAAGAACTAAATTTTGCCGTTATATAGTTTAATAAATGGGTATTTTAAATAGTACATAACTGAATGAAAAGCAATTCTCTTTTCTATAGCGTGCAATGTTGGCAGTGCTGCGTTAATGAAATGTGGTAATAGAAGTAAATAATATTTTTTGTTAAGGTGGCAGCATGTGATGGATTTGTCAGATGTTTTTGTTATTCTATTTCTTTCTGTAGTAAGACATTTGTGAATAATTCAAAGTTTTAGTTCATTGAGTTACATTTTTTAAAACTATTACCATAAATTAACAATGTCCGGATTTACTGACGCAAAAGATAGTGATGATGAATTTCATGACGCACTCGCTGAGGTGCCTAGTGTTAAAGAAGCTAATATATGCTCAGAAATCGTTGCAAATGGAAATAGCAATTCGTCACACCTCAAAACTAATGAAGAAATCATTGAAGAAATAACACGCCAGCAGGAGGATCTCAAACTTCCTGATGATGATGAGGAAGATGATGATGGAGAAAATAAATCAAAAAAAATTGATACTGACTTGGTATCAAAAATGTTTTGCGATGATATTGATATTGAAGAGYTGCAAAATCGAGAAAAGACCATGAGCTCTGAAGAACTGCAGCAAAACAAAGAAGAATCAGATCGAATGAAATTAGAAGCAAACGAGCTGTTCAAGACTGGTGAGGCACTAAAAGCAGTTGAAATATACACAAATGCYCTGCAGATTTGTCCCACAACCTATACCAAAGAGCGTGCCATATTGTATGGCAACCGAGCTGCCGCAAAAATTAATTTRGACTCGAAAAAATCAGCTTTAGACGACTGCACAAAAGCTATTGAGTTATGGCCGGATTATGTTCGCGCACTTATGAGGTTAGTGTTAATTTGTCTTTATATTGTTTTTGTAAAAATGTTTATATTTAATCAATATTAAACAAAATAATTTTTAATTGAAAGGCGTGCAAAGTTGTGTGAAAACGAAGATCGCTTGGAAGACGCATTGGCGGATTATAAACGTGTATGTGAGTTAGAACCAAGTCAAAGAGAAGCGCGGGAAGCTGTCTCACGATTACCGGAACAAATTAATGAACGCAATGAGCGTTTAAAAACCGAAATGCTCTCCAAACTAAAAGATCTTGGTAATATGTTCCTTAAACCATTCGGTTTATCTACGGAGAATTTCCAGATGCAACAAGATCCCAACACAGGCTCTTATTCCGTGAATTTTCAACAAAACCCCAGATAGTTCATGTTTATGCTAACGGTGTACAAGCTTCAATTATATTTAAAATATATATATTTTGCCGTGAATATAAGAATATTATTGTTTAAATTAAACGTAAATAAATTGTAATTAAAATTTTAATTAAGTGATACAAATATTACGGCTCGTTTTCTAGAAAATAATAAAATATTCCTTAAAATTCTATATTATACACTTTAATATTTTATAACTTTTCAGTAAAATTTGGTTTTATAAAGCCCCTTTCTATTTCTACGGCTGTAATCGTTGGTAAACGTCAACTCCGCAATGTAATCGTTGCTATTACCGATTGCTTCATTTTGGCTGGATGAATCGCGGAACTCCGATTAAGGGATTTCAACTGGAAGAATTAGCAAATGGTTAATCAACATTAGTGGACAAATGGGTAGAGCACCTGAAGTCTTGTAATTTCTCTACCGGTGTGAGTAGGGTTTGGAGTACTGGCAGGCCCTTGTCTACTTTGAGGAAATATGATGACCGAGTTGAARTTCATTTCGATTGCCATATCTCTTCGGACCCGWAGAAGTGCSTGAGTTATTTTTGCCGGMAGTTCAGACTGCACCGTCCGACCGACAAAAGATGTATTACTCGTTGGCTGCGCAAAATCCCAAGAGACTACGCTCCACTTACTTTCASTAATGAGGAGGTTCGGAGTGTTATCAACAAGGCTAAATCTTTCAAAACAATTGGTGCACWTGGAATAAACACGCTGATGCTTAAGCACCTAAAATCAGAAGAGTGGTCCACTTTTGCAAACCCGCCAAAAAATTGGAGTCTCATCGCTCTATAATTATCCTCTCTCCAAAACTGAATACACTTGAGGTCTTGCTACTGATGTTCACGTTGGGGCGTTGGACTTGTCCAAAGCTTTTGACATAGTCAATCATACAACGCTACTCGAGGATATTGCARGCTGAAGAGATGGGCTATGAACTATATAACTATGAACAGGGAATCCCGCAAGATTTTCTTCCTTTACATTTTGAAAGTCCCTTAACCACTAGAGGGTAGTTCCATCATCTCGTACGCTGTTCAATGTACGATATTAACGACGGGCAATGTTCCTTTATATTTCTGGTCGAGAACTTACACAGCGATGCCCATATGATTCCTATTAAAAAATATAGCGAACTTCTCTCTATGCAGCTTCTGTCTTCGCAGAAACCATCCATTCTGTTATGTGCTTGAAGAGGAGTCGTCTCTTAAGAACACCAAGAGGTATTTCATAGACTGTGTCGATGACATCGAACAGTATGTCGACAACTCACTTCAGACACTCACTGGTCGCCATTCACAGTAAAGCTATTAATATTTGGCGCGAAAATMTAGAGTGACCCTTGTGCAATTTTGTTTTGAATACTGAGCAGGTTAAACTCCCTCTTATACAGAATGACTTTAACCGACKTTAACCACCTATTGGCACGTTCAGMAAAGCTCCCTTATATAGCACACCTCTCCCTATTGTGCGACCCCGTGGAAACGGCACGTTTCCTGAGCCTACCGTTACATAACTTCGAACTTTGAACATTGCCACCCAAGCGGGGATAAGATAACCGTTACAACAACAAAAACCCTGTTCAGAAAATGCACACGGCAGCCGGTTTTAGRTGACCAGACTTTATTCGCCTTTCGAGTGGTGCGAAATACTTTGATTGCTCCTATGGAAAAAACTTCTTAGTTTTTAAACAGTGCTATAACATACTATTTACTTCAATATAAGTAACGCAAAGCACTACAACAATGAGCTTCTATGTTATGAAACGTTACTGTTAAGGAAGCCTTGTTATCGACAAATATGCATTGTGCAAATCGTAAAATACATATAAGTTAAGCAACCAGAGTATCACGTAGTTAATTCTTGCAGAAACTTCTATTTAGCTCGTTGCTATGATCAATAAATTTTATGGTCGATATTATAAACATGATATCCATATAATCAATATACYAATAAATGCAAGTGTGTTTTTATGGGTTTATAATCTTTTTAGCTGTATATGGTATACATTTGGAAAAATTTTAAATTATCTGGAGTAGATATGTTATTAGACGATTTTTAGTCTCACTTTTGCAGAAGAGTTATATGATAAAAAATATCTGATATCATAAGGCTGCAAATATAATCGGCACGATTCCGATTACTTTGTCGGAGGGGTAAAAAACCGAATTTCCGTATAGATGGGGTATGTGCGGATAGGGGAGCTTCTCCACAGAAGGAATATCCAAAGATAATTTATAAATAACTTATATTTATTAAAATATTGAGTTTTAAACGAATGGAAATTTTCCGCGGATTCGTGAATTTCCGTACATAAGGCTATTGTGCAGAGTAATGTTCTTTACTGGATAATAATATTACCAGTTCAAGGGGCACCGACTTTGAAACCATGAATTGTATARAAATCGCTTTATGGGTTTGAAATCTGATTAAACGATTCTTAAGAAAAAATACAAGAATTTAAAACAAAACAATAATCGAAAAAAACTTGTAAGCCCTACTTCTTTCTTAAAAAGAAACAAAGTCCATTTTTCATTTACATAAATGTATATATTAGGGCGTGTCCAAAGTTTTCCCAAGCATTTTTATATAAAATGCATATAAAAAAATTTAAAAATTAAAATTTCACCGTAACCAATTATAATGAGAAGCTCAATTTAATAAATAAAAAAGACAGTATTATTAAAAGTTCATACTCATTTGCACTTTATGTGTGTATGCGGTGTGTCTGTATATATACATACAAATTAACATATAATAAAGCATGCATCTTCGCACACTTTACATAAATAAATATGCATCATTTTAATTTTAGCTTGAAAAATATACATATGTATATTGCTACTCTTGATTAGATTACAAAGCGATGTTCTGTCTACTATATCTACCTTTGTATATATGAACCTTTTCAATAATAATTTGGCATTGTCCAATTCTCATTCTTGTATTATTCATTCATGTACTGGCGGCGCGCATAAATTGTATATACATAAATATATACATATGTATGTATGTGTCCGTTTACTTATCTGTATATGCATGAGTATATGGATTTTTATTATTACTAAAATWTTATAAGAAATTTATTATTATTTGTGATATAAAAATACGATTCAGCGAAATTATTACAGACTATTGACACAAAAACGTATGTAATTATGTATGTATATATTAGAGTATTAAATTTTATATACAAAATGTATGTACACGAGTATTTATGTATTTATATGTATTAAAAAATTAATTTATATTTAAAATTATTAGTCATMACATCAACACTTTTTAATATATTTCGTCTATGAAGCAACCATGTTTTAGTTAATTTTCTTATTTCAACCAAAAAAATAACAGTTTTGCGTTGAAATGAACCATATAATATTTTTGTAAAATTTGCGCTTGGTGGCAACGCTATAATTATCAATGTCGCCGCAATTGCTGCTGTTGTTGTTTAAATTGGCATTTGCCGGCATTCAGCCGCTGCTGTCGAGAATMTACAACAACAAACTGCCTCGCGTTCTCTGCTGCTGTCTGATATAAAAGCGGAGCTCCAATTGCGCCGACATCTGTCATTAAGTGTCGTCCACAGATATTGTGTGGTGCTCCAGTTGTTTTAGATTTTTTTTCAAGTTTTTAAAGTAAAACTTTATAAAATCTCCAAAAATGGCCGTTTGGGAAGGAAAGAAATACAAATTGGAAAAGAGTGAAAACTTTGATGAGTACATGAAGGAGTTGGGTAAGTTTCATATATTAATGGTGTTGTTTATACCGTTAAAATCGGAGCAATGCCCGTTGAGAAATGCTCGCTTACACAATTTAATAAATCAACATATGTACGTACATATGTATATATATTTAAAAACTCAATATTTTGTAATGATTCATATGTACATATGTATGTATATATGAAAATAAGCTAAGAATGCACAACGGACATGTCTATATAGTGGTGGTTAATATGGCACCGATGGCGTGATTTTCAGGAGTTGTWCATAAGAAGGAATTTTGCGTATACACATATAAACACAAGTGGCCTACAGTAAAATTTAACGCATTGCTGTAAAAAGAAAATCGATTTTTTTTTTGCATTCCACATTTCTCTTGGTCTGCTAAAAACTCAGCATMATTTTCTTAAGCTCTATGGGTACAGCCAAAAGCCAGCTTCTATTTCGCGCATAACTAAACCGGTTTTAAGGTTTCTGCTAAATACTGTCAAAAATGCCGGTACATAAATTTGCGGTAGTGAAAAGAAAAAAAAAAATCCAAAGAAGATTACGATTCAGCTCTTTTGCGACAACAAAAAGTATGCAATTGATATGTGTTGTTTTCTGCATTTATTTGTTGGTRCCGGCGGCAGAAGTACAAAGTGCAAGCGTGCATACATACATACATATGTATGTATAGTAAAAGGAAAGTTGAACTTCGAACTTAAAGTTATATGAATGGGAGATAAAAATACATGCGTTAAATGAAATGGATAACAATTTATATACAACCAGAAATATATATAAATACATATGTACATATGTTTGTTTGTACACTTATGAAGATAACACTTTTTCTTTATACACATTTTGTATTTCCTTAATTACCAAACAGCTTAACTATTACTTTTTTTTTAGTATAAAATAAATTGGTAAATATAACAATGTATTATGAAAGTTTGAAGCTGAAAAGTATTAATTTAAAACAAAATAGTTTGACAGAGAAATATATTAGTAGTACATTACAATATATACTTTTCAAAATATACYGAAAGGGTAATCTACATTTATCAAAGTAAATGCGCCACACCTATACCAATACTCAAGCTCAAGTGCTGAAGTAATAATTGTGTGGTATCAGTTTGCAAGTTCTTATGACCACCTCATGCACATACGCTGTGTCAGAATTTAGTTTTTGCATTCAGAAATGTAAAATTATATGGATATTTGTAAATATGTATCTTTAATAACATTTAAGCGATAAATATTTTTTTAAAAGCAATTATCTGAAGCCATAAATTCCCCTAGTAGGTATTTGTATTGCGTGATCAATGACATTATGAAAATATGTGAATATATCTTTACCAAATAAGAGGCATTTATGGAAGCTACGTACATCGAAGCTTTACTCAGTATAAGTTTAAAATTAATAAAAAAACAGTATTTGTTTAATTACCTTTGCAATTTGTATGGCATTTTGCATGAGATGTATTTAAAAACATTTAGTGAATTTGAAGTGTTAAGTGCTTATTTAAATATACATGCATATATAGTTGCCGAAATTGTATGCAAAGGCTTTTGTTTTTATTAGTAATAGTGTGACCACCAAAGTCAGCAAATTGTTCGGTAATAACAATGTATACTACATATCTTTTTACACTGTCTATTATTAAATATATTTATTTATATTTTAGGCAAAGTGTATATTTGCAATGAATATATGTATGTATATACTATATATATATTTTTTTATTATATATATATTTTATTATTGAACATTTGTTTTTTATGGTGCGAAAGCGAGAGTCTTATCAGCAATATAATGACACAGCCGGCCGAGCAACGTTCAGATGTTCCCACTGAAGTATACATAAATTTGCGTTAATTTATGCACTTAAATATGCATAATAAATATAAGTGTATTGCTTTCTAATGCACAGTGTTGATTTAAAGCATTGGTACTAGACTATTATCACCTATATTCAATTGACTTTTCGACTTCGATCTATACTGTGATATATGTACATACTATATAGTTTTAAAACTAGCTCGCTCGCATTTATCACACTTCCCAAGATTATCTTTTACTAACGTAAAGTACAATGTAATGAAACTCCTATTTTTTTTATTTGGACATATAGTCAAACTAATTTCACGAGATGAGTCTTTATAATACTATACAAATGCAAACAAAAAATTTTGAGCTTGCTATTTTTTTGTATTTTTTATCTACATATATACCTATTTATATACTTATCCTTAAATATCTACAATTTAATCTGAGAAATATTTCGTCAAGTGCATGCCAAGCCCCCAGTTAAGCTATATATGTAAGTGCATACATACATATGTATGTTCGTTCAATGTACACACTATGGTGGCGTATGGTATGGCAGTATCTTATGTCAAGCGAGTTCAATTTAATTTACATATTTTATGAATTATCTGCCTGCTAGCACGTATGCATATGAAGAACTGTATGCATTTCTTGAGTTTTTATGCAGGGGCATTTACAATAAATTGCAGTTTTAAGTTGCGGGATCATATGGTACAATTAAATTAAGAGTTCCTATTATGCCTGCTTTTTTTTTACTTTACCTGTTASTTTATGGAATTTTCAACTTATTAATGCGTTTACTTAAGAAAACGTCCATAAAATGATATTGCCACTGATCTGTTTAATTAAAAACTGCTCATATGAATATTGCAATCATAACCATTGTCACTGCTATATCGAAGTGGTTGTGATTCGTGACGTGCCCCTTACTAAAGGGCGGRGCTTTTTTAAAAATTAAAAATTTGAAGTTCAAAATATGTTTTTTTTTTATAATTTTCTTCGACCAATGATATATTAAATAAGATAAAATGTTAACTTCGAAGCTAAAATACCCTTCACAAATAAAAAAGTTTCCATATAAAAATTTTATTATTGTAWCCTGTTCAGGGTATAAAAAGGGAGCAACCCATAGAATGCTTCTACATATTTATAAATTCGTATTAATGCATCCTAAATAAGGTCTTAAGCATCTTAATTTGAAGATATCTACATACATATCGAAATCACATACATATATATATGTATGTGAATGCATATTTCAATTGAAATGGAAATTCCGCGCCATTTTCACTCAATTATTTCTCGTTTAGTGCAACAAGTGCACATATGTATGCTTGATACTGTGGGACAATGTGCATATGCACGTGTATGTAACGAGTAAATACATATATAATGTRCGCATATAAGTATACTTAAAATGTATGCATGAGCCTGACACTCGCCCTTTTCTCTAAAGTGGTTTTTGTAGTTTTATGCGTTTATTCGTGCTGATTACGTATAATTGAATTTGATTTGATCGCTTTGAACTTTAACGCAGCCAATTTTGGGTTAATTTTATTATTGTATAACAATATGTAGGCTTCATTCATTAAATTTATTATATTTTTCAATGCGTTGTATATCAATTAACACTACTATCAAATTTCTTTGAATGCACATAGTTACATATGCACGCAAGTACTCCCATCATATGCAAAGTAAAGTAGTGAAATTGATCTACATAAATTTTGCCGCAACCACAATGTAGTATTTTAATATGCCAACACCTTCACCTTRAATTGTAATCAATACAAATTGAAAATTTACATAAATATCGCGAATTAATTTCACTTTTTGTCATATATTACAGGTGTCGGTATGGTTATGCGTAAAATGGGCAATAGCGTCAGTCCCACCGTTGAGTTGAAAAAGGATGGTGAGACCTACACTTTCACCACTACCTCAACCTTCAAGACATCGTCGATCAACTTCAAGCTGGGCGAGGAATTCGATGAAGAGACACTGGATGGTCGTAAAGTGAAGAGCGTTATCACTTTGGAGGGCAACAAACTGGTGCAGGAACAGAAGGGTGACAAACCKTCAACCATTATACGTGAATTCACCGACTCCGAACTGGTGACTGTAAGTTTTGCTAAATCTTTAATGAATATAATTTTAACCAATAAAACTAATGTTTGCTTCTTCTTTCCATAGACCCTTACTATTAACGGCGTCAAATCCGTCAGATTGTACAAGGCTGTATAAATCCATTGTACAAAGACCATAGCAACAAATAGTTAAATTAATAATGCCACATCTTGCGATAATTAAGAATTGAAATACTAAATATCATGCGTAATATTTTGCACTTTGTATGACAACGTATGCATACATCAAGATATATTTTTGGTTTTTGTGTATTCCAATTTTTTTTGGACTGAAAGTTTTTAATTTTTCTAATGCATAACTGCAACTAAATTATGAGTTTGTTATTGAATAACAATTACCAATTATTGTACCGTTAAGCATTTAAAGAATGTTAACTATTTTTTTTGCTAATACATTTTAATGTATTTATATTTGAATTCAGAAATTGTATTACTGCTAAGCATTTAAGCACAAAACTTACGATAGTAAAACGTGAGTAAATTTTTGCATTAAAATAAATTTTATTAAAAGAAGAAAAGAAGAAATTTTTATCTTAATGAAAATAAAAAAAAAACGAAGGTAATGGGAAAAAGATTACTCATTTTAGAATTTATTGTATTCGTAAATAGGTAACATGTTTTCAAACATTTCAATGACTATACCCTGAAGAGACGAGTTCAATTCCGAGTGAGTGTCTATCTGTTCGTCCGTTAACTAATGAAATTTGGCAGATGTGCTCCTTGGTTAAAAAATGATGACGTGTTCTTAGATGGATATAGTAGATATTTTCTATTTTATTAAAAATATTTGAAGAATATATCTATTTTTGTTTAAATTAAAGGCCTCCGGGGGAACCTAATGAATACCCAAAATATATCGGTAACTCGCCTATACTGCAACCTCTTACTATTTTTAATCCTTTTATTTAAATCTCTGTGCCGAAATATCAACTATTTCGATCAAGTGATCTCAGCTGTTGACGACCATATGATTCTTTTGTTACTAGTATGTTTCTACAATGGTAATAAGTTTGAATAAGATAATTGAATTAAACGAAATCGATTTTCTTCACCGATTTATATCGATTTTAAAAACAATTATTTGGAGCCCGCGGCACCAGTGTTCTTTATAATTTAGGCTTTTTAAATATATAATTTTGTTTAWTAATATAAAGTCATGCAATACTTTTGTTCATGGCTGTAAATTACACCCTATTCTTGATTAGCTACCATCAATAACAAAAGCAAATCAGCTGTGTTTTGTTTACGTTGCTTAAAAGCTCATAGTTGTTTTTATATTAGATAATAGTAAAACTCTACTGTGATAATAAATATAATGTTATAAATAGTCCAATGGATTGTCACTATTACACTCCTAAAATTATATAATTAAATTATGAAATGAAGTATAGTAAAAAAATTCGACAACWTCAAAAATAAGTGAATTTATTATAAATTTCAATGGGTGATAAAGGATGGAAAAGTGTTTTATGCGGCGGCATGGCTGGTGGTACTGACGTACTTATWACATTTCCTACAGAATACATAAAAACACAACTGCAATTAGATGAAAGAGGTATACAGAACATAACCAAGGAATTCACGGAACTTAAATATGTTTATAAGCAMGAAGTCTTTTCAAACCAGGTGACAAAAAGAAATATAGTGGGGTGATAGATTGCTTTAGGAAAACCACAAAACAATATGGTATTTTCGGGCTATACCGTGGAATGAGCACATTGCTTTATGGAAGCATGCCAAAAACTGCCGTATGGTAAGCAAACAGTAGGTGAAATTCATGCAATATATGTATATATGTGTATATAAAGACAATTTATGTCTTTCTTGTAGCTTTGGATCCTTTGAATTTTTCAAGTCACATCTTGTTGACGAAAAGAAATCGCTCTCAACATTTAATAGCTTCTTATGTGGTTTGGGTTCCGGAATAGTGGAATCCATACTTGTGACAACACCAATGGAAACTTTGAAAGTCAAACTTATAAATGATCGACGTAGTGAGAAGCCAAAATTTCGTGGAATGTTTCATGCTGCTCGTCTCATTGTAAAAACAGAAGGTACGTACATACATACATATGTGCAAATATATCATCCTTCATTTATATTAACTTTTTATCTTATCCCGTTAATGGTTGATTTACTCGTAATAACTGTAGCAAATTTAAGCGTAAAACAATAAGAAACGTGAACTTAGGTTCAACCGAAGCAATAATACCCTTCATAACTAACGATTCTATATAAGACCATTTACGCGCTACTCAGGTCTACGTAACYGGAACGGATACTGATTTTTATCTGGCCAAGAACTGTCAAACTGTAAGCATTCTTTCAAATTAGGTCAGGAATACTTTCTGCGGCTGTAACAAAAACCACATTACAAATAAGAATTTAATTTGATCGGCCAGTTTGTATATCAGTTGTATGCTATAGTAGTCCGATCGGAACTATTTTTATTAGATATTTTACCTTTGTAAAGACAATAATTCATGCCACATTTAGCGAAGATAACTCACCATATATAAAAGCTTTCCCTACTAGGGCTGGATTTTAATCTGATCTAGKWCTGATCTGATCTGAACAATTTATTCGAGATTGTACCGTTGCTTTGGCCTATAATCAATGCCAAATTTTGGAAACTTGGAATGAACAGTTTCRTTTTGAGTTACAATGGATATTAGATTATCAATCAAAATGTAATCCTTTACGTTTTTCTTTGGTCCCTTAGCCACTCCTCCCTTCTTCCTTTTTTATCATTTGTATCACATTGTTGAATCATTCTATTTATTGCAMATATGTATATATGTATGTATATTTGTTATTTTCTTAATATTTTAATTCTCATTTAAACAGGTTTTCATGGCATTTACATGGGTCTTACGCCGACGTTGCTCCGACAGTGTTCCAATCACGCAATACGATTCCCTATAATGGAAACATTTAAAAATTTCTATAAAGGTGATGACCCAACTCGGAAACCGCCTAAATGGATGATAGCTATGGTGGGATTTATGGCCGGCGGYACCGCTGTGCTTGCCAATACTCCAGTTGATACATTAAAAACACGCATGCAGGGCTTGGAAGCCTCTAAATATAAAAATATATTCGATTGCATCTTGAAAATATCTCGTAACGAGGGAGTATTAGCACTCTATAAAGGCATGGTGCCACGATTAATACGTTTATCTCTACAAGCTAGTGTAATTTTTACACTTTACGATGTATATATGGAAGCGTTTGATGCATTGGAAGAAATGTTGAAAAGGAACAGAGGGAAAAGTTGATTGGACGTTCGTATTTATTTTGAGTTGCAACTGGTGTTGTATCTGCTGTAATATATTTGTGTAGTTAAATGGATAGAATATTGCGAGATTATATTGTTTGAATACTCAAACAGCGGTTTGCTGAATTCATTTAGTGGTAAAAAATTAATATTTTATAATTGATACTCGTAATTAAAAATAACTGTTAAATTTAATTTTTGCATATCCATACTTTTGATAACAAGAATTTTTGATACTAGATACAGATATTTAAATTATAAATAAATATTAAATTTATAATGATGATGTTTAAACAATTGTTGTTTACTGCATGGGAGCTATTTTTTGGCATAATAATAAAAACAAAGAAACAAAAACACTAAGGTAACTAGAACCAAGCGTAAAATCTTATATCTTCTATATATATGCTTATTGTTCTTGCAGATTTGAAGCTGGATTGATCTTGTATTGATCAGCGGATGTAGAAGGCGCAGAGCAACCACTGATAATAGTTTTTGTTAGTAAGAAATGATCGAAATGACAAATAGACATAAGATTCGTATAACTAGATTGTTATCCGTTTAGCGACCACAATTCAGTATTGCAGACAGTTATTTTGAATATTATAAATATTTGAAGTTATGAGGGGCATCAGTTTTGAAAACGTGATTTGTGGGAGAACGCTTTAAAGTTTTGAAATATAGTGTACACGGTCCATTTTGCTCCAATCGACTTGAAATTTAGACAGAATCATCTTCAGATTTTAAAACAAAAATATTTATAAAAAATAAAAATCAAAAAAATCAAAACTCTATTTCCCCCTTAACGATATTGCCTTTTTCATACTCTCTCCTACCGGTTTTACTACTTATTAAATTTCCAACAAAACTAAGTTTTCCGATTTATGATTTTTTTTCATTGAATGTTAAGCTTGAAAAACAAAAAAAACCTTGTGAAAGGCTACGTTTACGAAGAAATCGTACGAGATCTTTTGGTGGAGCATTTGAAAATTGTTTAACTCTAACTGTTATTAATTATTTAACAGAAAACTATCCCAAGAAAGACTTCCAATATAATTTTAGCTTCAAAAATACCATTACCATTTTTATCTGTAATTTTTGTTAAATTTTTTTTGCACTAACAAGTTTTTTATAATCGATATATGGCATGAGTTAATGAAAAGTTTGAAAATAAAACATTTTAATAATGAATGTGCCCGCACCGCGAATAGAATTTTTTATTAAAATATACTACAATAAGTGAGTAATTGCAAAAAAATTACATTTTAARTTTACTGTTAGTTATTCTTCATTGGTAGGAAATCGAAAATTATCAACTCTTGTTATTTTGACATTGCTTAGATTTAATTTTTTTACAATATTTTGCAAACCTTTGTCGATAAGCTCATATGCGCTTTCTCTAAGTATATTTTCACTGCTTGATATTTATGCTGCTGCTACTGGGTCCGTGAAGTAATCAGCTGTATTCTTCATTTTAACGCATGCGCCGTCTAGTCTTCAAATTAGTTTATACAAATTTACATAGCGTAGGAGTTAAAAGTGTATGTGATTTGACTGTCATTACCTTTTGCAGGGGTTCAAAATATTTATGAACATTACTACGCTATATGCTGAGCGCATTTCGTATATTCGTTTTTTGAGTTGCACATTGCTACAGTTTGAGAATTACTGAGTTTAGTCATCACTACATGCATAACTCACCTCTGGCGACCTATAAACATTGCTTGTAAGCGTTAGTATCAAACTGCCGGTTGGGTTCGCGTGGCGGTTCTACATTTTTTCATATTTTTTCAGGTGAAAATAAAATAGCAGTAAGTTTACAAAACTTGTAATTAGTGAAATGTTAAAGTTTCACATAAGCAAGAGCTTGTCATGGCGTATACGTAACGTGACATTGGCATTGAAATTGATTGGATCGCCGACATACATACATATATATTTGCAATTTTTTTTCTAATTACGCGAATATTAATAATAAGCACATATGAAAATGTATATGTGTTAAATGTGTAATTATGCGTTGGTAATTTTTCCCAAGTGAATTATGAGTGCTTGACTGGTTTATAGTCTCGGTGTTCTGGATTGCGTTGCCTGTCTTTCYAGTGCCGGTTATTTATTTCTCTCTTGTGCAGACTTACTTTCTAAGCATTTTATATTTTGGTTGCATTGTTGTGCAATTTAAGTGGGTAGTTGATAGTTAACGTGTTGCTCGTGAATTTGTAGACGGAATTACTGAAGTTAAGTAATCCTAAATTTATTACTGTTAGGATGAGCCGATAATATTCGAGTTTATAAAATATCATTAAAAATTTTTTAATTTAATAGGGGGAAATACAGTATTGCGTGTCATTTTATGAACTATTTTCACCTACGATGGTAAGAAGGGACCTAGRTTGCCTTTTATATTTCGGGGTTAGAGAACAAAAACAAATTTTAGTCATCGAAAATCATTTTATTGTTTTTAAAAATAKTCTCCATTAAGATCTAAATTCATTTGCTTGCGTTTCAACCAATTTYCGAAGCACTTTCGTCACTCTGTTGAAGTATCAAACAAAACATGTATTCTGAACTCATCAATCGTCTCTTCAGGTGTCTAAAAACGTTGACCTAATAGATTATCTTTCACGGAAATTTACAAAGATAAAAATAATCCAATCGATCTGACGAGCGCTTTCTCTGTACTTTCGGTCACAAACGCGCAAATCAACGTTTCATCAACTGTCACGATTTCATAGACGTGTTTCGAAGAACATTTCTCCCGAGCAATCCTACGAGCCGTTTTTTTTTGAGTGATCACCAAATTGTGTGGGCTCCATCGATAACAAATTTTTTATATTCAAATGTCCGCACGATATTGAATTCCATCAGTGTAAAGCTTTTCTAGTTTCTCGCGAAAAGGCCAGGGCTATATGGGGGAAGCTTCAAAACTTCCCAGCCAAGCTCTCCCAGTTTTTKCCGAGTAATCAAAAATGCGTGTGATCTAGCGTTGTCCTGRTGGACGACGGAGCCCTTTCTGTTGATCAGTTCTGGCCGTTTTTTTCGATTGCTTCCTTCAATCTTAATCTTGTTAACAGTAAAATGTAGAATCAATCATTCGACCAGGCTGGAGCAGTTCATAGTGGATGATTTTTTTCCAATCCCACCAARCACTCAGCATACCATTTCGAGGCGTTAATCCTGGTTTTGCGACCATTTGTTGAGCTTCACCGTCGTATTTGATCCACTTTTTGACAGACAATTCATATGGTATCAAAMATCGAGCTWTTTTTGTAGCCAGGCTTTTTTAAATGGTTCAAAACCGTTTGATAATGAATGTTAAGTTYCTTAGCGATATCATGGCTGCTTRTGTGGCAGTCCTGGTCAATCTTTTTCATAATTTCCATCGACTTCTTCAACGATAGGTGGACCAGAGCGAGATGTTTCTTTCACATCGAAATTTYCAGAACGAAAGCGGGTGAACCATTGCTGAGCTACACGAATTGATGTAGTGTCGTCTCCGTAAACTTCACAAATTTTTTGTGTGGCGTTCTTTCATTTAATTTCTTCATTATTTTCATTTTTGAACAACTGTAACTTTTTTTCAACTTCTGCGTATTTAATTTTTAGTTAAGTGAAGCTTAAAATCTCACCTTTCTGGCACTATATGGTAYGATACAATGTGATTGGTAGCACTGGAGATATACGACTGCAACAACATCTACTGACAAAATACGAAAGAAATTTCGACTACCTATATAAAAGGAAATCTACCTAACCCCACTTTTGTCTGGAACTGAGTCATAACTAGTTGTTTCAAAATTACGGCAAATTAAAATTGTGTCGTGTATTTATTAAGATATTAGGATACTTTAGTAACAGGCAGATTGAGCAAGAATCTGAGGGGCACGACAGTACAGAGCGGACGACGCAATTGCAGGTTTGTACGAGTCTGAATTTTTAGTCAAGAACAGAAGTTGCAATCACGAAATTATTTAGTTAATTGCATACATAGGTGTGTGCAAGAACGGTCGGTATTCATCTATTATATGGCAGTAGGCAGAGTGGGTGAAGTTTGGAAGGAAGAGAGACCAGACCAGTATCTGGTTCCCAGCTCAACCCTTGAAGAAATAAAAGAGATCTTGCKATACTGCAATCCTTCATTCTCCACTCATGACTGGGGAGTAATCAGGCTAGTAAGATAGAACTCAGGAATGRTATCGACAAGCGCTAATCAATAACCAAGAACCACCATTTGGTTCAAAAGAGTTCAATTTTATTTTGTTATGCCGTGACCACGATGGTTCCGTTTGCATATCTCCCCCGTTTTCGATGACCCGGTGCAGCATTTCGAGAGGAGTTTCGGCTACAGTACACTCATTGTTGTCTTCGGGCTCCCTGAGCGTTGCTGGCTGATTTTCGTAAACCTTTGATTAAACATACCCCTAGGGTGCCATTTATCGAAATTAAAGAGCCGCCAAACTTTGTACGCAATATTTCCATTTTAGACGTAAAAGAGGCACACCGTCTTTTTGGATATAGAGATCGTCTCGCTTTTAACTTGACGACATTTCCTGCTAAAGTTCGAAAGAAAAACTGTAAATTTTGGGGGATGCAATTGCGTTTCCTGAACCATACGAGGATTTGACTCACTTCAATAGTGCCAATTTTGTTTGTTAAGCCATAAATGGGTGTTATCTGGTCGGACCGTGTTTTCGGGGAAGAACTCTTACAATAATCACCAGAGAATGTAAATTTGAATAAAATGCTTGGACACTTTCCAAACGCTGAACTGAGCACACAGACAAACCACGAGCTGTCAAAATCACATTATCCCTATTGGTAGASGCTGTACTTGAGATTATGCTGTTGCAGGAGATACCTTGGCGAGCTCGGAGGTGTGAGTCAATGTGGTATCACAGTACTTATTACGCAAAGGGATGGCCAGCGATTAAATATTCAGGTTTCTGCGTTTTCCTACTCTTTCTCTTTGTTGTTTATACACTGATTACATATTTTAAAGAAAATTATTTCATAGAGAACAAAAAAATATTACAGTTTTTCTATGAAATGTGCCACTGTGCAATAAAGCAAAAAGCTTTAATTTTTAAACATTGTGTGTGCCTTATTTTCTCCAAAAACTTGTACAAACTTGAACACATATTTAAGAGCAAATGCAACGATTGAGTAGAGACATTCAATGAAATTACAAAACCAAAGTTTTGATTGGGCAGCTGTTCTATACCT